AACTTTAAATGTAATAAAATTGCCTGGATCTCCAACTTGAACAGTACTTGATTGCAGATATTTCAGTTTGTTGACTTCATCACTAAATTATCGACATTATGAATGTAATACTTCGAAATTGCTGAACAACCCGATTGGATTGGTTTTTTTGCCTACTCTTTATAGTTACACAGCCAAAAATGCATTTTATCCCTTGTCCTTTGCAGACACCAGATGCATTTTCTGTTAAAGATATCTTGTGTATTTCCAACATAAATATAATGGTTCAATTTTTTGCAGGTAATGCTTGGATCTGGTGAGAAACAATATGAGGAGTGGATGAGATATATGGAATCACAATATAGAGACAAGTTCAGAGGATGGGTTGGATTCAATGTGCCAATTTCACATAGGATAACAGCCGCGTAATAATAATTTTATTATAAAAATTATAGGGGAAGGGGAACATGTTTTCTGTTGACCTAAAGATGATGTGTCTTATTATATTCCAGGTGTGACATCCTATTAATGCCTTCAAGATTTGAACCTTGTGGCCTAAACCAATTGTATGCCATGAGATATGGCACGGTTCCTGTTGTTCATAATACCGGGGGCTTAAGGGTGCGTTTGGGATTTTAAATATTGCAAATAACCTCACAGTTAGTCTTTTTAATCACTAAACATCCCCTCTCTGCATTTCAGGATACCGTGGAAACATTTAACCCGTATGCTCATAATGGCAGTGGTGCAGGCACTGGGTATGTATCTAAAATACTTTTGATGATTGAATCTATTATAGGTTTTGTGTGTTTGAAGGAAAATAATATGTTGTCGACTTGTGTGACATATTGTCCTCCTGTGTCTGCCAGAAAAATATCCACAATGTTATTTTTTCATACGGCAATATTTTTTCTGAAAACAAATAGAGCCCTCATACTAAGATGAGAATATAATACGTAGTACATTACAAGTTTTTTTGAATATAGATTTCTCGAAGAACACGACTCTTTACAAATTTCCTATATTTTGAATTCATTTTTGTGCTCAGTTTGATTTGCTTTACTGAATAAGGTACTTCCCTTTACTCATGCATCTGACATGCCACTCAACAGGTGGACATTTTCTCCTCTATCCAAAGAAAAGCTGCTGGCTGTAAGTTTTTTTTTTACGTTTAGTAGTTATCATTTCTTTATTACGGCTCTTTTTGTAATTTGGAAAGTACTAGTAAAATCAAATATTGTAAATAGGAAAGAAAGAGAAATTATGGAAACACAAAAGATTGGCTCAAGTTCAATAAATTTGCATTATATATTTTCATTTATTTACCTATCTATTTATTTATCCCTATTATACAACGAGTAAACATTAAGACATCTAAATTTATCTGATTTTTTTAAAAAGATACTGGTATCATATTTCGTTTTCTGTTGCATTTTCCATGTTAAAGCCAAACATAAAATATAATTTTCATTGACCTTTTTCTCCTCCCTAGTAATTTTTGTGCTCCAAACATATCATAAGGATCAGTTTGGAACCCGTACGTACTGAAGAAATAACAGGGAGGAAAATGAGACGGAAGAAAACCTTAGATAAAATAAGACTCGAATTCTATAGATATCATCTTGCATACTTGATCAATCTTATCCATGTACTTATTTTTATTGTATAAGAACTAAAAGAATCTAAATGTATGATTTTTTATATAAAAAACAATATCATGTTTCAGATTGATAAGGAAATTCAACATTCGGTTCTTGAAAGCTTTTCCTAATCCTCTTGTGGGTTTTGCAGACACTTGGAATAGCTATTGGGACTTACAGAAAACACAAAGCATCATGGGAGGGATTAATGAAGAGGGGAATGGAAAGGGACTGTTCATGGGAAAATGCTGCTGTTCAATATGAGCAAATCTTTGGATGGGCATTCATGGATCCCCCGTATGTTCGATGGCCTAACTAGAATAATCTCCTATATACCAGAAGACTAAGGGAAGATCTCTCGATTTTGTTAAATCGTCGCACAAGATTCATACTTCACCCCAAGTAGCAATGACTTATGGTGCTGCTAGTAATAATCTTTATGCAATTGGGTAATTCTTTCATTTGTGTTTTTTTTTTCTTTAAGCGGTGGAGTTTTTCCTGAAGTATTATAGTTCTAGCATGTTTAAACATGGATCAATGTTTTTCTTGTTTATTTACAACACAGGTCAAGTTCATGTAACAACCCATTGTAAAAGAATCATCATTATGTGACTGTTTGGTCCTATACTCCTATATATCGGTTGAAATGGTATATCTATTTAGTTTACTAACTGGTTTACAAACTCATTCGAGGAGCAACCTTTTACTCCCTCCGTTTTCATAGACATGAGATGATGAGAGCTGGATGAAAAAATATAAAGTCACTGAGTATTTATGTAAAGTAAGAATTTAAACATAAAAGTAAGGCAAAGCATATAGATAATAGATAGACAATTCATCAATAAAGGTTAGAAATTATCTATACACATAGATGTGTGTGAAACGTGTACAAAAACTGTGTACATTGAACATCTCTTATGATAAAAGATGTGTATAATGAGTATGAACATTGAACATACGTTTCTTAAGTGGGTATCATTCTTTTTAGCAAAAATGATTCTAATATTGATTATTGTGTCTCCCCTCGACCTTGAGGGGATGGGTGGACTCAGGCCGGGTGGCCCGACCCAGAATCGGCACTGTGCTGAACTGGCCTGACCCGATGGTCTGGCCAGTGACCGGTCGGGTAGGCCCCGCCCGGGGGGTTCCCGGTGCGGGCTTGGATCACCCAAAAGCTGAATCGGTCTGGCCGGTTCGGGCCTAGTTCCGGGTTTTTATTTATTTTTTTCAATTTTTTTTTGACTTTTCGGGTTGGGCTGGGTATTTTGGGCCATTTGGGGTGGTTTGGGGGTGGGAGGGGGTTAATTAGGAAAAGGAAAAAAAATTGATTTGAGGCCCGACTCGGACTGGATCCGGTGGCTACATGGGCTCACCTATTCAGAACCGGCGACCCGCCCTGGCCTAGGCTTGACCCGGCCCGGCCTGAATCCACCCCTACTTGAGGGAGGGTCACATGGCCCCTCCCAACATTTCAATTTTTTTTAGTATTAAATAGTTAATGTTCAATGTATTTATTACTCCGTAGTAATTTTTTTGTAGGAATAGTTAATTGTTAGTATATTGATTATAATATTCTCTTTTAAAGTGAAACATACTAGTTATGGTTGATAGATATATAATCTTAAATTAGCAAAAATGTTTCTAATATTGTCTCCCCTCGACCTCAATCTTTTTCACCTATGAGCTATAGGATAAATGCAGAATTTTGGGTAAATACATACATCTCATTCGGAATAAGTTAGATAAATAGCTCTAAGTTTCTTTTAAAAGTGTACATCCTTCATTTCAGGTTAAGATTTTCAATTGCCTTTTTTGAACGTTTTGACTAAAACTTTCATTTCTATTTTAGAAAATAATTAGCACTCTTAGATGAAAAATTAATCATCAAATATTAAAAGTAATGCACCTAAAACATCACAATTATCATCAATGACATCATTATATTATACTTCTTCCGTTCCATTGGACTTTATCAACTTTTCTCTTTTGTTTTTCTAATTTCTTTTTGTCATTTTCCATGTAAAGCAATGAATTTATGACTTTGTTCATTTCTCAACCCTTTGTACAAACCTCAATCACACAGTTTTGCTTTTCTAATTCTCCACTCAACATGAAGTTGACAAAGTTGACTGGAGCAGATGCAGTATATCTATCAAAACTATTTCTCAAAAGATTCTGAAATTACCTTATTTAATTATTGTCTAAATAATCGTATCATTTTAAAAGAGAAGCTTATGCGAGGATGAGTAGTAATTTTTAATAATTATAAGAAGGTGAGTTGTTTTGATTTCATTCTACCTCAATCGCCTCTGTATCGCATAACATGTTGACAAAGGTCTACGGTGGGGAAGTTGAATATGTTTGAATTGCATGAGCTGTGATTTTCCATTACACCTTCTTCTTGGACCTTGTCCATTCAAGATCTGGTACTGCATGATTACATCCATCTTTCGAAGTGGAAGAGATAGTACTTAACTATTTGTATTTTGTTTCTACACAGATAAATGATTTTCATTTTAGTAAAATGAGTTTGTGCAAAAGACAATTCACTTTTTCAATGATTCCCCAAGTAAAATGAAAATCAATCGTGTTTTCGCCAAACAAAATAGACTTGACATTTTTAGGGGTGAGCATTCGGTCGGTCGGTAATCGACCGATAACCGAATAACCGACCAATATTTTTTACTCAAATAACCGACCGAAAACCGACCGACAACATTACAAAAACCGATCGAAAAATGTCATTCGGTTTCGGTCGGTAACCGAATAACCGACCATAATCGACCATAATCGTCTGGTGGAATTTTTTGATGAACTTTTTATGTCATGTTCTTCATCAAGTCTAGTTCATCCATACCAAATTTGAGCAAACAATTCCATGCGTTTTATATGTATTTTTTAGCGCAGTTAACTTCCAAAAATCATTTGACGACCTTCACGATGGAATATTTAGCTGAATTTTGTTTGTGGATAAACTAGACTTAATGAAGAACGCGCCATTAAAATTTCATCAAAAAATTCCACCGGGAAGAGCCCCAAAATCTGTCGGCCGGACGGCGGTTCCTGTCCGGAATTCCGGACAGGAAGACTACTCTACTATGAAGTATATATACTTATATATTTTGGACGGTTATCGGTGACCAACCAATAACCGATAAATATAACCGAATAAAAACCGAATAACCGATTCTTTTTATTTTATTATAACCGAAAACCGACCGAAAACCGATTTTTTCGGTCGGTTCGGTCATCGGTTTTCGGTCAGGTCGGTTAAATCGGTTATTTGCTCAACCCTAGACATTTTTGTAAAGTTTAACATTTGAGGAATATAGGATTCATGAAAATGTTTCTGTAATGGGTTTCCTTCTACCTGTCAACTTTCAAATTTTGGTGGTCCATAGACAGGTTCCAAAGTTACAAGACGTGTGTGGCATCCTACATACGGACCATATCATTTACTGATTGAGAAAACACAAAGGAAAAAGAGTCAATTTTTTGTCTCCCGTCTTTCTCCGACTATGGCCTGTTCACAGCTCATCTCCATGCTCGGAGATAACAGGACGATCTCCCCCTCTCTCCTCCTCCTCCTCTAGCCCTAATTACCTCCATCTCCTCCCTCTACAATTATTATGAGCATCCATTTCTCCTCTCCTGATTCCACATTTCACCAATATGAATGAATCTCATCGATTCATGCATTTTAAATGTATATATGTGTAGGAGCAGGCAGACCTCTGTGTACTGCTTGGATCTTTAGGTAGCGGGAGGTTTTCTCTGTCGTTTCGTTTTTCTCTGCGTCGGCGTTTGGATTCGGGTCGGATTTGTTTGGGATTCGAAGTATGATTTCGGATCCGAGATTGGTCCACTATGCCTGCGTTGCCAAAGACGCCACCGTGCTCGCCGAGTTCAACTCGAATGACGCCGATCTCGGAGCTTTGGCGGTCGGATGTCTCGAGAAGACACCGCCTTTTCATTCAATTTACACGCACACCGTCCGTAGGCGCACCTACACCTTCCTGATTGAGAGCCCTTTCGTCTACTTCGCGGTTTTCGACGAGAAGCTGGATAAATACGACGGCGTGGACTTCCTCAAGGCCGTCAAGGAGGGCTTCGAAGCCTTCGTCGGGGGGAGATCGGCGAAGAAGTGCGACTCGCATTGTTTCCAGGGAGAATTCAATCCGGTTTTCCATAACCTGCTCGCTTCGATGGCGGAAACTGAGGAGCCTCCTCCGCTTTCGCCGAGGAAAATGAGCCACGAGAGCAGCGGCAGTATGGAATCTCTTTGCGGGTACAGAACTGGCACTACGCCATTGTTCAACGAGACTACAAATTACTTGAAGAAGAAGAAAAAGAAGAGGCTTCTGGATGGGGAGAACGATGATGCCTCAGAATTGAGCCGGGAGTTCTCGGTGCCAATGCACAAAAACGCCGCGTTTTCAGGTGAATTGGGGCACCAGAGGGCGAAGAGAGTTTGGAAGAGACATGTGTGGGTGGTTCTGGCGCTGGACCTGATCGTCTGCATCATTTTATTCATAATCTGGCTTTGGGTTTGCAGGGGTTTGAAATGCATTGATGGCTGAACATATTTTTGATTGATCTCAATCGTTTTTTTCATCTTGCATTGGTTGAACATGTTTTTTTCCAATGCAGAGAGTTGTGTTTGTTGAATCATGATGGATTACCCCCATACAACCTTTTTCTTATATGATGCTGGATCTTGTGAGCACATATAATTGGATTTATTATATGTAATATCGTTATCATTGAGACTGCAGTTGCAGATCTATGTAATTGTAATTCCACATTGTATGAACTTAATTTAATGACACTTTTGAGTGCATCTTTGGGATCCTGCAGTAGCTAATCTTTGTTGCATACAAGTTAGATTGAAAATTTTCAAATCACTTTTTCAATAAACTTTTACACAAATAGTGAAATAGAAACCCATTCTTATTATCAAATTTGTGGTTCATGTAAATAGCTATGGATCTTAATACAAGAGCATCACTTTTTTCTGAAGGCAACTCTGTAATAGCAGAAAAATGCTTCAGAACAGTTTAGGATTCTCTACCTTTACAAAAGTAGAACCAATCACCACAAGCATATTATTACCTGACATCTTTCTTAACTTTGTAATTAGTCCATTTGATTTGTTGATCGGACCATCCAGATAGTGTGGGCACGTGTCTGGCTTTGGCAATGGGTAGATGCCCTGAGTCTGTCATGGGTCGGTACCAGGCTCCATTTTTCTAGAAACGAGGGACGGACGATACGGGTCCGGAACCGTGACTGAACTAGGGCCCTCTGCCTATCTGGGCTCTACGGCATGCGGACTTCAAGAAGAAGAAGATGGATTAGGTTTCTTCCCGTATGGCCAGGGGATTCTGATGTAAAGCTACAGCCCACAACTTCTTCAACTAATTTCCTTTGCACCGTTATAAGTTACATATTTAAAAATTAATATTTGTTTGTTGATCTTTGGAGTATATAAGTTAAGGTGCTTCTATAAATTATTTTTCAACTATCACCAACTTTTATTGAAGTAGAAGAGATCTTCTCAATCTGCAGGTTAAACATGCAGGTATAGTCATATATTACCTCCGCCTCCCTAATATTGGGACGGAAGGGAGAAGTGTGATTTTTAAGAAAAGTGGAATTATGTGGTTGATAATAAGTTGATAAAGTGAGAATAAAGTAAGAATCAATTTGAGGCACACAAATATTACCAAATATGGTATAGTCATATATTACCTCCGCCCCCCTAATATTGGGACGGAAGGGAGAAGTGTGATTTTTAAGAAAAGTGGAATTATGTGGTTGATAATGAGTTGATAAAGTGAAAATAAAGTAAGAATCAATTTGAGCCACACAAATATTAACAAATATGGTATGAGACAATTTTAGTGGAACGGAAAAAAAATGAGACAACTATAGTGGCACAGAGGGAGTACCAGTTTATAAGACTTCTTAGTATATGTTCGAATGATCAATTTCTCATTTGAATTAGGTAAGAAGTCACATAAGTCTCCTTTATGTGTAGTACTAATCATACTTGTCATGGCACATGGCGATTGCCATGGGACAAAGGCATTTTTCACGGCGGATGGCCATGACGCATATACGAATGACACATATCCATGATGACGACCACTTTTTCATGGCGATGGGGCATATGGCGCGCGCCATATCTTGCCATTGACTACTATGGTACTAATACTTCTTTCCCATTTATGGAGTTTTCTAGACTTTTGTTTTTATCCATTTTAAAAACTATGTTGGATCTTTTAAAAAAACTATACAAGAGTGCAAGCAATTTTAATGATTTGCAAGTCAGGTAAATCTCACCTTTCTTTACTAATACTTCTTTCTCTTTCATGTATTGTTTATATGAGTTATATTTCGATTTGTTTTAGTCTTTCTTTGTAAAGGGGGTTTATATTACTAAATATACATAGTAGCAATTATTGTGCATAAATTTCAACTGAAAACTATTGCATTGTTTATGCTTCATAAATAGGCTAATACATTCCACTCGGCTAAAACTATTGCATTGGTTAATTTTAAGGCATTTACCTGGTCCAATACATTCGACTCGGTTGAATCAGACATAAATAGGCCAAGAATTTTCCTAATAAAAAACTTATAGCATTAAAAGTATTTATGTGTAGTGTGTGAACTATATAAACTGTATTTCATTATATTGAATCTTGATATTAAGAACTATACAAGTAGCTATATTTATAGCTAAAACTAGAGCACTATGGTTACTATACAAGACGGGCTAAGCCCAATACAACTAGGGTTTCAACACTCCCCCCTCAAATTGGAGCATATAAATTATATGCACCAAGTTTGTTACAAATATATTGCATCCTAGGTCCTCTAAGAGACTTGGTTAAAACATCTTCAAGTTGATCTGTTATTTTGACATAATGAGTAGTAATATGTCCATTTGTGATTTTTTCTCGAATAAAGTGACAATCAACTTCAGTGTGTTTAGTCCTCTCATGATACACTGGATTGGAAGCAATGTGCATTGTAGCTTGATTATCACACATTAGCTTGGTGGGTTTCATGCTTCCGTATTTTAATTCTTGGAGGAGATGCTTCAACCATAATATCTCACATGAAGCAAGGGCCATTGCACGGTACTCTGCTTCTGCACTAGACCTGGCAACCACATCCTGTTTCTTACTTTTCCAAGAAATCAAATTTCCACCAATCAAAATGCAATATCCGGAAGTAGAACGTCTATCCATTGGACATCCAGCCCAATCTGCATCACAATATCCAACAATGTCATGGTGCCCTCGATCATCAAAGAGTAATCCTTGTCCTGGAGTTTTCTTGATGTATCTCAAGACTCAGATAGCTGCGTCCCAATGTCCATCACATGGCTTATCAAGAAATTGACTAAGCACACTGACAGCAAATGAAATATCTGGTCTTGTGATGGTAAGATAGTTCAACTTTCCAATAAGCCTTCTATATCTCTCTTTATTGGGCAGGTGGTCACCTTGTTCTGACACGAGTTTGATGTTTGGATCCATTGGTGTATCAACTGGCCTACAATCCAACATCCCTGCTTCCTCAAGAATATCCAATGCATATTTCCTCTGTGAGAGCACAATTCCATTTCTTGATTGGGCAACCTCAATACCAAGAAAGTATTTTAGTTTTCCCAAGTCTTTTGTTTGAAATTTGCTAAAAAGATATTCCTTGAGTTGGGCAATTCCTTGGTCATCATTACCTGTAATGATAATGTCATCAACATATAGAACAAGAAATATACATTTATTGCCTGCATAATGTCTGTAGAATATGGAATGATCTACATCACTCCGAGTCATGCCAAAACCACGAACAACAACACTAAATCTCCCAAACCATGCACGCGGGGATTGTTTCAAGCTATATAAAGAACGACGTAATCTGCAAACCAAACCAGACTCCCCCCTGAGCAACAAAACCAGGTGGTTGCTCCATATAAACCTCCTCATGTAAATCACCATGGAGAAATGCATTTTTATATCCAATTGAAATAATGGCCAGTGGCTCATTGCTGCCATGGATAAAATCAGACGAACGGATGCAATTTTTGCAACAGGAGAAAATGTGTCGGTGTAGTCTAATCCATAGATTTGTGTATACCCCTTGGCAACCAAACGTGCTTTAAGACGATCAATGTTTCCATCGGGTCCTATTTTGACTGTGTATATCCAGCGGCACCCAACAACTGATTTCCCAATAGGAAAGGGAACTAAGTCCCATGTCCTACTAGAATGTAAGGTCTCCATTTCAGCTAACATAGCTCGACGCCACTCTGGGTGTGATAATGCCTCATGTGTGGTTTTAGAAATACAGACATCAGATAAATGTGAAGTGAAGGCAAAGTAAGGGGTGGATAGACGATGATAACTTAAAAAGTTATAAATGGGATGAGGATTCAAAGTTGAGCATGTACCTTTGCGGAGGGCGATGGGCAAATCATCATGATTGTTCTCTGGCACTTGGGTAGCTGTCTGTGTTGGTGTGGGATCCGGAGTAGGGGAATCAACAGGTGTGACCTCAGAGGACTCATTAGGTGGAGGGCGAGGGCGTCGTTGATACACTTGTAAAGGACGTGTTATTGGTGGACATGGGTCGATAGGAGCATCGATATGGGGGGTGGAGATGGGTCTGAGATATGGGAGAAAGTCGACACAGGAGGGGGTATCGTGGAGGGGAGATGGGTAATAAAATGAGGACTCAAGGAATGTGACGTCAGCGGACACAAAATCTTTTCTAAGGACTGGGGAATAACAACGATACCCCTTTTGAAGACGGAAGTATACAAGAAAGATACATTTGATTGACCAAGCAGACATTTTGGATATTCCTGGTGTGGTATCATGGACAAAGCAAACACACCTAAACATATGAGGTGGTAATGGAAACAAAACAGAATGGGGAATGGCATTACCAAGAACTGAAGAAGGCATTCTATTAATGAGATGACATGCAGTGAGAATGGCGACTGCCCAATACTGAGGCGGTGAATGTGAATGTAACAACATAGTACAGGCAGTTTCAATTAAATGTCGATTCTTGCGTTCAACAACCCCATTTTGTTGAGGTGTATAAACACAAGAAGACTGATGAAGGGATGTCAATTCATGACATACCTAGTGATGTCATGAATTGATTAAAGGGAGTGGTAAAAAATTCTTTAGCATTATCACTACGTAGAATCTTGATAGAACGACCAAATTGGGTGTGAATTTCAGCCCAAAACTTTTGAAAGATATGAAACAATTCAAGACGTTCTTTCATTAAAAACAACCACGTGTGACGGGAGAAGTCATCCACAAAAATGACAAAATAACAAAATCCTAGGGTAGAATTGACTCGATACGGACCCCATACATCTGTATGAACTAAATCAAAGGGGGACGCAACCCTGTTATTGACACGTCTTGGAAAGGACTCATGAGGTTGTTTTCCAGGATGACACGACTCACAATCTAAAGAGGAAATACTTGAGAAACCTAGGACCGTACGTCGAAAGTTGGAGAGACTGGGATGACCCAAACGATTATGTAAGGAAAGTGCTGGTTCAACGGACACACAAACAACTGGATCAAGAGGTTGGACGTGATACAAGCCTTGAGATTCACGCCCGATGCCAATCATCTTCCCTGTACAACGGTCCTGCACAGTCACAGAGTCAGCATAAAAAGTTATAGAACAATTAAGAGAGCGTGTAATTTTGCTAACAAAGACAAGGTTAAAAGGGCTGTGAGGAACATATAAAACTAAATCTAATGGTAAGGATGAAAGTGGGAGTGCTTGCCCAATACCCGTAGCCGACGTGTGAAGAC